AAAGCAACCTGCAACTGCCTGAAACAGAAAAAGGAACAAAGCACTGTCCTCTGATTAGTGACTGGGCATGGAGGAACCCCATGAAGACCCAGGGAAAATAGGTGAAGAAAAGCCAGATAGGTGCCACACTTGTCTCTCAGTCCAGCCTTTAGTAGATTGGATAAATGCAGATTTTCATTGCACAGTGAACCCTAACCACAAAAAAACCCCAACTCATCACATATTTCCAGCAAATGAGTCTGTGATTACTAGCTTACTCATTAAATATTTCAAAGAAAATCTCTTATTTTTCTGATGTTGTTCTGGTACCTAATTGCCAGAAATAATGTCCTGGTAATCAGATTTTTTAATTCAAGGCTGAGAACAAGTTCATTTGCAGCAACCCCTTTTCTTAGTGACTGGAGCTAGACACATTTATCCCAGTTCATTTTGCTGCCAGAACAAATTTATTTATTCACCATACAGCTTGCAAAACAAGAACATTATAATCCAATTCCCCATTGCCTTTTACAGCCCGTTAATAATGCTCACTGTCAAAGGACACTGCAGCGCCTCAGCCCAAGAAGTGTCCGTGCTAATTATAGCAGAGACTTGTAATTAAAATATACATAAACAAATAATTTATTGTGCAACAGTTTAGACTACTTTATAGTTTACTCCTTGATATTTCAGTGCAGAAACTTGGGGTTTGGGATGTGCACAGGGGTCATGGGAATTTTTGCCTATTTTTGTCTTCCTCAGCAAGTTATATTAAATGTTGTGCCATGTAAATATACAAGTTTAGGGGAGATAATGTGCCAGCCAGAAAACCTGGAGGGATTTGATGTTGTCTAAAGGGTACTGGTTTGTAAAAGCCTGGTTTGTTTGGAAAAAAAACCCCTTCTTTTGGAACAAATGGGCTGTTTGGGGCCCTTTGGAAAAGGAGGAGGTTGAGCAGTTGTGGGATGGCTGTCTGCTGCACTGCAGGGAAAGGCACAAACCTGGGAGCTCCTGAACCAGATGAAAAGGACGCAGCAGGGATTTAAAGCTCTTTTCTTAGGGTTTCTTTGCATAGGAAAGTTTCTGAGAGTAAGCAGAAGTAATAATAGTTCCAGGCTATGTCCCCAGAGAGAAAGCATTGTAGAGGCTCATGGCAGACACGCACAGTCCAGCTCTGCAATGAAATCAGCAGGTATCAAAGGAAAAAAAAAAAACCAGCTTTTTCTGCTTTGATCAGTTTGAATAAACCCCCCAAAAAAGGAGGTGGTTTCAGGTGGGGGCTGAGTTCTGATGGATGTGTCTGGAGTATCCCTTGAAGAGCTTGTAGCCCCATCCCTCATGCTCAGGCCTGCAGGGATTCTGGGCACAGCCTCCTCATTGCTTCAGCTCCACAGCTGTGGAGCGAGGCAACAGCAATGGGAAAATATTTTAAATACATTTAAGGTGCTCAGATCCTACCTAGCAGCCTGGCAAAATACTTAATATCCTACTCCCACGCTTGTTTTCGGAGCTCCCTGCTGATTTCAGCATGTGTTTCCCAACGTGGCAAGGGGCAGTCAGCTGGATTAATGTGGGTATTGTGCTGAGTAACTAACAGTATTATGAATTAACCCAAGGTTTGTGTTAGCCTCTTAAGCCACTTGCGTGGCTCTTTGAACATGCACAGTGCTGTAAAAACACTAACAGGGAATGAATCAGAATTTTCTCCTGAACAAAGGGCCGCTGTGTTTGAAGCAGGCGGCCCAGGGTGAGGTCGAGGAGTTGTAAAATACAGAGCTACCTGCTCTTATTAATATGTTCATTACATTACTGTGGTGAATATTAAGGAATTGTTACTGAATCAGACAAATCTGATCCTGGCTGGGACTGCAAGAAGTGTGGTAACTGGTGTTTCCTTGGTGGGAATGAGCAGGTTTTGAGGAAGCGGGAGAATTTTCCTCCAACAAGCATAAATAGATAATAAATATAAAAAGTAATTTTTTTCGCTCTCTATTTTATATATATTTATATACAGAGATCTCAGGAGCCAGCTGAGGAGAAGGGCAGGTGCTGCTGGAGACAAAAGGTTTGAGGCAATGGGGGGAGAGAGAAGGAAGCACCACAGAAAGCAGGACCGCTCCTGGGTTGGGGGGGAAGTGAGACTTGGGGATTCATGCTCCTAATAAGGGATGCAAAAATCTTGTGCTTTCTAAAGTGTGAGCAAATACAAGAAAAGCAGAATCAGAAATGCAGGAATATCCAAACCAGGCCTGGGCTTTGGTCCACCTCTGGCAGGACCCAGAGTGATCCCAGCTTCCCCAGGGAGGTGCTGCCCACCTGCTTGCTCCCCGTTCCTGCATGCAGTGGTCACATGGCTTAGCAGCACACGTTTCCAGTGACATTTTCCTTCTCTCATAAAAGCTGTCACTTTGGGCACCTTGCCCACACTCCAGACTCCACAAGATGTCACTTTGAACATCAGCAAGAGGAGGGAAGGTATGAAAGAGATGGGCAAAAGGAGCAGCACTGGAGTGCCTGCAAGAATCCCAAGGAACTTGCCATGCTTCCCCTAAGGACTAAAGTACAAATGCTTGCAATAATTCCCATTTTCCTACTCTTAGAGTACTCATAGAGACCTTTTCCAACCTAAATTATTGTAAGATCACCAAGTCCCCCTAAAGCCAAACCCACTTCTGCCTTTTCACTGTACCCATGGGGTGTAAAATCCTTCCCACAAGGAAAAAAAGTATTTCTTGCTCCTCAGAGAAGACCTCTGAGCTCTCCTGTTGCTGGGCAAGAGGAGACGTGTATGAGCAATGTTGTATCTGTTCTCTCCCACTCAGCAAAAAGTGGATGAAGACAATTTTCAGTAGATTAAAGCCGCTTTCCTACTTATTCAAGGCTTGCCAGAAAACCAACGCACCTTCAAGGTCTGCCTCCCATCAGCAGTACAAACAAAGAGACCAAAGGAGTGTCTGATGAATAAATTAGCTTCCCCTACTGCAAGCCATTCCCATCACCTTACAAGAAGCCCTTTTTTTGCCAATCTGGCATCAGGCACCCCCTGCTCTGTTAGCATTGGGTAATTAACTTTGAGCAGAACGAGCCCAGGAAAGCCAAACTGCGATTACGCATCTCATTGGAGTTTGGATGCTTCCTAAATGGCTCACGCTAGTCCCCACCAGTTGGTCTGGGCTCCTGCAGTTCTAATTGATTTTTTTTTTCTCCTTGGGCTACATGTTTAGCATAAATAATAATTAGTACCAGAAGGGCAAGGGCTGGATACCCTTGTGCAGCTCAGCATCACTCTGAGCACTGCGGCTTCCCATGTCCTCATTGCCCAGCCTCAGCCAGCCTGCAAGGACTGCTTGCCACCCCTCTAATTTCAATAATTTGTTAGCTGGTGAACTGGGAGATCAATGCAGATCCTTTCTGGCTGATAGGGAGCCAACACCTCTTGGAAACAGGGTTGAGGAAAAAGCCCCCTCAGTGCCCAAAGAAGATTTGTTTTCTAGAGGGGAAGACATCTCCCAGCTCCCTACACATGCAACCACAGTAAGACAAGGGTTGTTTTTAAAACAAAGCTCTTTCATCCTGATAAAGTCCAGATGCTCATTCAAAGCTGCAGTGGCCACAAAAATAGCCAAGAAACCACCTCCTGCCAAGTCCAGAGCTCCTGAGCTGTCCAAAGGTTTAACTAAACTAAGAAAACAACAACCCACCTGGCTTAAAATGGAATTTCTCTTCAAAAGCAAACTCCACACTTAATAACAATCACCAGAGAATGAAAAAAATAAGTAATCCACTATTTCTAATTACCTGGAAAGGACAACACAGTTGAATAAAGGCATCTCTTCAACCCACACCCAGAGAAGAGACTTCTGCCTTCACAAGCAACTTTTGGCATGATGATAGAAAGCAAACAGCCTATATTACTCACCACAGCTCAGCTGATCTCTCCAGAAGTCCTCTTTGCCCTCGTTTACGTCCATCTGGCACTAAAGGTGCTGATGGACCCCTGCCAGCTGCATCCCATCACTTCCATCATTGGGACACCCCAAACAACACCTGTGGGGTGGCTGCACCTGCTCTGCTGGGGTAGAGACGAGGGGTTGGTGTTGCTTAGGGCAAAGAAAATGTGTCCAGCATGTGGCCTGCAACCTGCCAGCTTGTGCTCTGGGACATGGGGACAGAAAGGTCTAGGGGGCCTGGGCAGTGTCGGGTCTGGTTCTCATTATCACAAATACTCTCCCTCCTGGTTTGCCCTGTGTCCCACAGAGCTGCTCTGTATGATGTGTGTGTCTGTACCATCCCCTTCACACCAGAAAACAGTAGCAGGGACTGTTTTCCCTTCTGTCTCTCTTCAAAAGAGAGAAGAAACCTCACCCCACCCCACTGTGGTTCTTTGTACCACTCTTGCCTGAGTCCCTCCATCCCCACAGCACTCCCTCCCTACCTACCATGCCTGGGGCATGAATGCTCCTGCATTAGTCAACCTCCAGATATTTAGATCTTTCCCAGGGCTTGTCACACAGCCATGGGAGAACCAGACAAGTTCTGAGTCAGGAGATCTGAAATTTCCAGAGAGCTTTTCCTACAATAGGTAGAGAAAATGGAGTAAAAGCCTGTGATCACACCTTTGCAGGCTCAGGGTGACACCATCCATGCAGCTCTACAGCTGGGTGTAGGTGCAAAGGGCACTTGAAGACCAGCCACTCCAGAGACATGACCCTGGACCACAGAGGAGATGATAAATTTCCTCCCAGAGGTTGACGCTGGAAGAGTGGAGAATCTTAATGCCAGAATTAGGGCTGGAGCATGTGTCAGGTACAAAAAGGATGTTTTTCTACTTGTCATGGCACTGCCAGAATACAGAAGAATGACCAGAAATACCCCCAAGACAGATTCTCAATTTCTGGCCAGAAGCCCTCACCCACCAAAGCTGAGTAGGGAACCTCATCATGACAGTCTCCAAAATGGTCCTATAGGACAAAACAGTTCCAAAGCTGTGCCTGACATCCCCTCATGGGTACATCTCTTCATCAGACCGTGCTGACAGTTGTCCCATTGGAGCCCCCTGATGCCACCCCACCATTTGTAGCACCATCCTTGGTGTTCTTCTCTGAGGCTGAGATGGGTTTGTGTCTCTTTTGCCTGGTGATGGCTGTTTCAATGCCCCTGAGACACAACTGCACATCCTCCCGAAAGGAAGGGGTGTACAGTCCATAAATTATAGGGTCAGTGCAGGTGTGCAGCAGGCCAAAGAGGAAGAAGCTGTGGTTGACATACTCTGGCATCTTCTGGATCATGGCCGGCTGGAACCAGTACCACAAGCCCAGGAGATAGTAAGGGGTCCAGCAGATGATGAAGGTGGCAACAATCACTATGGTCATCTTGAGAGTCTTCATGCGTGCCTTGGAGATGTGGTCATTTTGATTTCTTGTCAAACCTGCCAAGGAGAGTCAAAAAGATAGTGAAAACCAAGAAGATAGGGGGAAACCAAGACAACATAACCATCCATGACTCTGCTTCTGCCAGAGAAGGAAGACCATCTCATAAGCTGGTCCATTTCCCACAGGAAGCAGAAGACAGCAAGGACTGGGGTCAATAAGTTTGTGCAAAACCTCTTAGTTGGTTTGTGCAAAACTTCTTAGCTTTCAAAGGATGCTGTGACACACCCAACAACAATTTCAGGATGGAGAAGTTCAGTCATGGAGGACATTAAAGGGCTGGGATCTACTTACCTTTATTGACCTTTAGCTGCTTACTGATCTCCCAAAGGATGCGGATGTAGCAGATGATCATGACACTCAGGGGGGTGATGTAGAGGGTGGTGAAGGTGAACATGTTGTAGACAGTTTCCTCCCAGTGTGCTCGGAAGCTCCCATGAGTGACACACTGGGTGAAATTCCTTCCTGGGATTGTGTTCAGGTGGAAGAGGAAAAGCTGAAATGGAGAACCAAATAATAACTCGGAGAGGATTTGGAATAGAGCACCACCTCCTGGAGATGCTGCTGGCTGTGGCTGGAGAGCACTTCCCTGCTGGTCTCAGACTGGGAGACAGGCTCTGGGCACCTAACTCATGCCTTATTCTGGTGCTCGTGGAGTCCATGGATTGGGATGGACTGGTTGGGGATGTTGGGATGGAGAAGCCCTTTTCCAAAACCACCCCAGCCTAGGCAAACTCCATGGGGAGGATACTGAACTTTACCTGGGGCAAAGCCAGGAGCACGCTGCCAGCCCAGGCAGCACGGAGCAGCATCCCATTGCGGCGGTGAGCACGGGAGAAGGGATGGAGGATGGCTGCGTGCCGGTCCAGGCTGATGACCACCAGTACCAGGGCAGCTGCGTACATAGCAAAGAGCTTGAGGAAGTTGAGGATCTTGCAGGAGATGTCCCCTCCGTACCACTGCACTGTCACGTTCCACGCCGCATCCAGGGGCATCACCATCACTGTCACCAGCAGGTCGGCCAGCGCCAGGCTGAGGATCAGCGGCTGCACGTGGGATTTCCTCCTCTTCCTCAGCAGGCTGCCCAGCACGGCTGCATTGCTGCCCGCTGCCAGCAGGAAGAAGATGGCTGTGATGATCACACGGACCTTCGCTGCTTGAGTGAACCGGGGCTCCACCCAGTACTGGGGGTATGCAGAGGCTGAGACATTGGTGTCCTCCCGCCTGGTGGGGCAGTGGGGAGATGCAGGGAGCTGTTCCTCACTCATCCCCTGCTGAAACACAAGCAGCAAAGTGAACCCCAGCATAGGGGCTGTGTAATGCTGCAGCTTCGACAAAAGTGGGGAGATGGTGGGATCTGCACTGGAGGTACCAGCAGCAGACTGTCCCATTCTGTCTTGACCCATCCTGTCCCTGCCTGTCCCCTCTGTGTTGCCCACTTTGCAGTCACCGTGTCCCCACACCATGGTGACCCAGCCTGGCCACTCTCTCTGGCTCACCCCTGCTGTAGCTACAGGGACTGCTCACACAGACATATATTTTTAGCTCTTTCCAAGCTCTGAGCAGCTGGGAAAGCAGGAGTGGTGGCCAGAACCATGGAAGCAGTCACTGTCTGCCAGCATCCTGCTGGGAATGGGTCATACCAGAGCTGTCTGAGCCTGTGCTGGGGCAGCTCGGTTCAAGGACTCGTCCTTCCAAAGGGGGTTTGTAAGTAGGGCTCAGTTTTTTAGAAACCCCACAGCCCTTCCCATTAGTGTGTTAAACCTTAATGATCCACCTCCATTTCGAGTGCCAGATCTGGGGTCATGGGCAGGAGCAGCTGGGGTGACCAGTCAGGCGAAGGGGCATCCCATACTGTCCAGTCTTACAGTGGCTCCTGGGAGAGGATCACAGTGGCATTTAGGAGGCTGGACCCTCCCAGGACCCAAGCAGCACCAGCACAGCACCTCTGTCCCTTTCCCTTCTGGAGGCAAAGGAGGAGGAGGAGGAGGGAAAGGTAGAACCCTCCCTAAAACAGGGGTGGCTGGGGAGTGATGAGCAGTGTGGTTGTCCCCCACGCTTGATTTCATTGCCCTTTTTACCTGAGTAGAACTCACGTTTTAAGGGCACACGATTTCAGCTCCTGTGGCCACAAGCTGTTTACAGTCCCAGCTGCAGGTACAGCACATCTCCTACTGTTTCAAGCACTTTCCTGTTTGCTGATTCCAAAATAAAGCATTCCTTACCTTTGTACAAATAACAGGAACAGCAGAGATCAAATCTGTCTCCCCAGTTCTGCAACAACACCTTGCAGCAATGAGCCCTCCTCCAGCCCCACCACCCGCACCCCGAGCCCCCTTCCCCTTGCTTCCTTCAAAAAGACCTCCCTCCCCAAAGACCAACTGAACAAACAAGCAGCAAAAGGAAAGAACAGCTAAAAAGTACCAAGTTGCTTCTCTGGAAGAAATAAAAAATCCGTGTGCAGGTCAGGATTTATCCCAGCTGATGGGAACATACCTGGCATACGCATGCCCTGATGCTGAGAGAAGATGCTCCGTGTCTTTGCCACGGGTCCCCCACCGCTGCGGTGCTGAGTCAGGATGCTCCAACGTTTCCTTGCATCAGATCCCTGCAACAAACCTTGAAGCAGTAAAATTTCCCCTTGCCAGCAGGCAAGCCGGGAGCGACGCTGCTGTTAGCACAGGCATTTGCAGGCATCTGGAGATGGGAATGCTGCTGCAAACACCCCCTGCACCGGCAAACCAGGAGCGGGGCACACCGCGGCGGGCACCCATGGGCAGCCTGGCTCAGGCAGCCACCATCACCCCTGCCCTTGTTAGCTTAATGAGCTGCCCACTTAATGAGCAGGCAGCCGGGATGATGACAAAGCCGCTGTAATGCAAGAAACAGCCAAAATTCAAAACGTTGTGGCCAAATGTGGCTCCATCAGGGATAAGTGCCAACACTCCCTGTACTGGTTTGCTATAAATACAGGAAAATGAGTTAATTGTCCTGGGAGTTAGTGATGAACGTCCCGTTGCTCAGACAACCGAGAAACTCGCAGACACGCGCGCACATGCACCTCAGAGATGCTCCTGGACCACACGGGTCCATGAAAGCATCACAGGTACATGCTTGGACTGGAAATGCTGTAAGGAGGGACTCAATAAGGGGAAACATGGTTCATTTTGCCATTTTAATGAATACACTTTTTTTTCCCTGCAGTCTATCAGTTCCCATCTTGTTCTTTCTGTATTTCTTGCAGCATAACACAGTAAGAGGGAAGGACCTTGGGAGGGACAAAGAGCTCAAAAGAGCTTAAAAAATATGAAGTGCAATGCAAGGACAGGGAGGGAAACTGAGGACATCCTGCTCTTCTGGCCAGCAAAGGAGCTGTGGGGATGAAAGAGGGACAGCTCCAAGCCCTGCTGGGGCCAGCATTGACAAACACACTCCCAGGGGCTTCACTGGGACTTTAATGACATGCAGATAGGCCTTCACATTTTCCAGGCTATTAAATTAAAGAGTACGTGATATACAGGTCCCTGCAGATCCCGGGCTGGCAGTAGTGGCTCTGCATTGTTCCCCAAGAGGAGGAGATTCCCTTTCTGGAACAGATTTTCCATCATTAAAATTACTCCCGCTTATTTCAGGAGGAAACGCCTGAGCTCTGAGGGTTGCACCATCTCTGAGGCTGCTGTGCTGGCAGGAGTGCTCCTGGGCACAAGCAGAAAAGATATTTTCCCCTTTTCCAATTTGACTCTTAAACCTTTGTGGGTTTAAGAGTCAACTTGTGTGGCAGAGGGACCAGCTCCTGAGACCCAGGAGATGCTGCAGGCACTGGACCATGTTTGCCCTGGAATCCCCTAAACTCTCCACCACTTCTGCATGGAGGTGCCAAAAGGGATCAGGATGGAAACTCTCTGCTCAGAGCCACAGTGGACAACTCCTGCATCTGAAGTGCTTTCCATACAGAGGGAAAGAGGAAAGCAGACCCTGCTGGCACTGCCAGCGAGCACCAGCCAGCCCTGCCACATGGGATGGGACTGTCTCCATCACCTCCTTACCTGACAGGGGCATCACCTACCAGTGCCTTGGAAATGGGCCTGGCCCTTGGGGGATAAATAGCACAAAATCTGCATAGAAGTTGGGTGGAAGCCTGTTTGTTCCAGCAGCCACCTCCTCCTGACATTAGGCTCCTGCTTAAAGCTGAGATTAATTAGGCCCCACACACTCATCCTTATTTTCCCTTTCATTTAGCCCTTTGCACCTGCACGAAAGCAATTAAGTAGCAAGTCAGGAATGTATTCCCTGTTTGTCCTTCATCCTGGCTGATGGCCTTCTTGTCTAGAAATGTCCTCTCCATCCCTGGCTGTATGATGCAAGAGAGGGACAGGATTTTTCTTAGGAACTGTAAGTCTTGCTCACGCCACAACAAAGCCTTTAGTCCCTGTTTGGAGAGGATTTTTTTAGCATACCATCACACAGAAATGTCCTGGGCATGCATTAGCAATAAGTCTTATTTCAAGGGTGGGGTCCCTTATTGAAATGACTACTTTTCTCCAGCATTTGCACAGTAACCCCCTTGTGTTTTCTCTCTTTTTTTCTTTTGCTTGTCTCCTCAAAGGTCAGTTTGGATGTTGTCTGCATGGCAGCCTTCAGCCGAATCTCTGAACACTGGTTTAACGATCAGAGGGTTTTGGTGTCCAGGATTAGGAAACAGTGCTGGCAGACAAGGCTTGTTTCCATACATCCCAGCTTGGCTCTTCCCGAAATCTCCTCCTCTTGGGATGCTGCCCCAGTACATCCCCAGAGCTGCAGTCCAGTGCTGGGTCATGAGGGGACAGAGCTTCCCCCAGCGTCTCCAAATAGGACTGATCTCCCCAAATCCACATGGATCATCCTGGGATGCTGGAAAAAAACAGAAATCAGGAACCACACTGGGTAATACAGTCCTAGTGACAATTTCTGCATGAGCAACCCTTGAATAAAAATGCAAGTGCTGTGTTTTTCCATTGGACACTCTGTATATACTGGGATCTATCTCATCAAGGGAGAGCAGCATGGGATATAATTTCCATTAACCTACAGCAAACACAGGGCAGGGAACCTGCTTCTGTTTATTCTGATAAATCACTGCTGGGGGCTTGGCTTCCCCAAGAGAAAAACTTGTATTTTCCTTTCTGAGAGAAACTCCAGCTGCTGTGTTGTGGGGGGTGAGGATGGGAGATTCTTCTGCTGGACTCATCACCCACACCCTCCCCCCAGGCAGGTGTTTCTGCCAGGCTGGGTGCCCAAAAACTTCCCTTTATTCAGAAAAGCCTCATTATTTCAGAGTGTTTTTAATGCTGATTCTTTTTTTCTCCCCCTGCAATTCTTCTCCTCCTTCTCCAAACCTTGAATTGTCTTAGGAGCAGCTCATCCAAGGAAATTTTTGTCTCATACTGGACTCGAAACAGAAAGTCTAGTCAGGGACATCTGACATGCAATGTTTTTGTGAGTAAATACCAGCGTCCATGAAGTCATTTCCCGGGGTTAGAAATGAGCTCACCTCTGGAACAGCTTCTCTTCTTACCCAAAGTTCACAAGTCAACCAATTGGGAAGCTCCCAGCTTTCAGCCTTTTCATTAAATAACAGCATCATAAAAATTAGCACAGTGCCACTGTGCTGTAAGTTACAAACAGGTCTAAAACAGGGAATCACCCAAAATTCCCCAAAATCTCAAAGGACAAACACAAAGCCCAGTGATCACCAGGGATAAACCAGCACCTCATTCTGCCTGCTCAGCCAGCCCTGGCCACTCTGTTGAACCTGCCAAGGAGGGATGGTAACTGCTGCCCCTCCTGGGGATAATCTGGGTCACCCCATCCCCCTCCTAAAAACCTGTGTTTAAAGCAGAGGGAGGGATCTGTCCTGCCTTCTGGGCTCAATTACTTGGTAAAATGTGCCTTTAGATCATTTCTTGGTGAGACAATGCTCTGTTTCTGATTCAGCTTTGTATATCAAAACCTTACTGATAAAAACCCTTCTCAGGGGTATCACACCATCAGACAGGGGTACTGGAAAAACAAGCTCAAACCTGCTGCAATTCCCACCTTTTAATACCCCAGGCTGGTGCTCCTGATGCTGCTGAGCTCAGATGTCCAGAGCATCATTCCCAGTGATTCCCCAAATTTACAACTTTCCATGCAGAGCAGCAGCTCTCAGGGTCTTTCCTCCGTCTTTCACCGGGACATGTCAACCCGAGTAACATCCTCCTCCTCATCTTTAAACTGGAAAAGAAAGAGGATGGAATTTATCATCCCAGACCAAATCCTGAGGTCAAGCCCCAAGAAATGTGTGGGATCTGGTGCTGAGCCCTTTCTGCTCACCATCAAGTGATAAACCTGGTGTTGTGTGTACATCACTGCCCCACTCAGCCGAGCTTCCCCACAGCAGCTTTGCTTTCCTGCCCAGGCTGGAATTTATTTGGGGGGGAAATTATTTAGGAACTTTCACCTGGTACCCCCAGTCCCCAATAAAGAAGGAAAATCACCCACAGGGTCAGCAGAGGGGCCATGGGTCCTCTTCAGCTTCAGCACACACTGACCCAGTCAGGGCTCTCACTGCCCTAACGGGGTATTATTTTTGAGCTGGAAGAAATTATGAAATGCCAATGTTTTCGTTGTGACTAACCATGGAAGTGAACAATTTTGCCCTTGTTTTTGGACAGGGTTTAGTTGGTCTCCTTGCCTTTGCCTTCTGTGCCCTCTTTTATCCTCTGCTTTTTTTATTCCCTGTGGGACCTGTGCATCGTGTTGCTCCAAATATTCTCCTCCCTCCAAGATCTCAAATAGGATTGTGTGTCCCAAGGCCATATTTTGGTGCTTCCTTTGGAAGCTCTTTCCCAAATATTGGCCAAATTCAAGGGCTGCTCTCCTTTGTTGCATTGGGGGAGAGGTGAGATGGGAAAGCTGACATCCCTGTGGGACCCTTGGCAGTTATGCAGGGCTTGCAGAGCAAAAAGCAGGGAACACCTCCCCTGACTCCTCTTTCCCATGAGCTCCGTATCTCCAAGCAGTTTTCAAGCTTAAAGTTACTCCTGGATGAACTTTATGAAGGCACATGATCCTTCTCTATGCTTTTAGGAAAGGATCAGTTTCTGGGTGGGGAGAGATATCATCAATGCTGAATTTGATGAGCCAGAGGGATATAATTTCTGCTCCCCAACTCTGCTTTTAGCCTCCTGCAAGAAATCTGCTCTGAGCCAAGCTATGGGGCTGCAGGAAGCCAGTGACTATCCCTTAGGACGAGCATCAATGCTGACATCTCCCCCCCATCCAGATTTGGCTTCCCAGGGAGGTGTTTCTGGGAGCCAGCATTCAAGTTGCTCCTGCTGTTTCTCTGCAGAAATGCTCATCTCCCACGCTGCCTTTGCAATGTGCTCCCAGCAGTTTTTGTCCCAGATGGGAAAAGGTGCTTACACCAGGAGCTGCCAGGCCTTCCTCCAGCAGCTCTTGGCCCCACCAAACCCTCTGGTGCGCTCCCGGCAAACACACATTTACCCTCCAGCGAAAGCTGATCTGGCCACGTATTCCAGGGGGAATCCCAGCAGGCTGGAATTAGCTCGGCAGAGACCGGCTTTTCCAAGCATGTCCTTGGCATAGTGCATGAGGTCATGAGATATTTTACATCTCCGGT